ACAGATTGACAAACACCTGAAAAGAAGGCCAGAGCGTAGAACAGCTGAAATGTTGTGAGGATAATAATAAAGATGAATAACATTGAATCCAACTGTAAATAACAGATTGACAAACACCTGAAAAGAAGGCCAGAGCGTAGAACAGCTGAAATGTTGTGAGGATAATAATAAAGATGAAGAAACATTAGTCCAACTGTAAAATAACAGATTGACAAATACCTGAAGAAGGCCAGAGCAGAACAGCTGAAATGTTGTGAGATAATAAAGGTGAAGAACATTAGTCCAACTGTAAATAACAGATTGACAAATACCTGAAGAAGGCCAAGAGCATACAAAATGAAAATGTTGGAGGATAATAATAAAGATGAAGAACATTAGTCCAACTGGTGACAAAAAATAAAGGCCAGAGCAGAACAGATTGGAGGACAAACAGATGAAGAAGGCCAAAATAAATAGATTGACAAACACCTGAAGAACAGCTGAAATGTTGTGGGAGGATAATAAAGATGAAGAACATTAGTCCAACTAAAAAATAACAGATTGACAAACACCTGAAGAAGGCCAGAGCATAGAACAGCTGAAATGTTGTGAGGATAATAATAAAGATGAAGAAATATTAGTCCAACTGGTAAATAACAGATTGACAAACACTGAAGAAGGCCAGAGCGTAGAACAGCTGAAAATGTTGTGAGGATAATAATAAAGATGAAGAACATTAGTCCAACTGTAAATAACAGATTGACAAACACCTGAAGAAGGCCAGAGCGTAGAACAGCTGAAACAAGCAGAGGATAATAATAAAGATGAAGAACATTGAATCCAACTGCAAAATAACAGATTGACAACACCTGAAGAAGGTAGAGCGTAGAACAGCTGAAATGTTGTGAGGATAATAATAAAGATGAAGAACATTAGTCCAACTGCAAACAACAGATTGACAAATACCTTGAAGAAGGCCAGAGCTGCAGAACAGCTGAAATGTTGTGAGGATAATAATAAAGATAAAGAACATTAGTCCAACTGTAAATAACAGATTGACAAATACCTGAAGAAGGCCAGAGCGTAGAACAGCTGAAAAAGTTGTGAGGATAATAAAGATGAAGAACATTAGTCCAACTGTAAATAACAGATTGACAAATACCTGAAGAAGGCTGAGAGCGTAAATAACTGAAATGTTGGGAGGATAATAATAAAGATGAAGAAACATTAGTCCAACTGTAAAATAACAGATTGACAAACACCTGAAGAAGAAGGCCAGAGCGTAAGAAACAGCTGAAATGTTGTGAGGATAATAAAAAGATAAAGAACATTAGTCCAACTGTAAATAACAGATTGACAAATACCTGAAGAAGGTAGAGCGTAGAACAGCTGAAATGTTGTGAGGATAATAATAAAGATGAAGAATATTAGTCCAACTGTAAATAACAGATTGACAAATACCTGAAGAAGGCCAGGAAGAACAGTTGAAATGTTGGAGGATAATAATAAAGATGAAGAAATAAGTCCAACTGTAAATGGGCCAGATTGACAAAAGACCTGAAGAAGGCCAGAGTAATAGAACAGCTGAAATGTTGTGAAGAAATAATAAAGAGAGAAATAGTCCAACTGAAAAGAAAGATGAAGAACACCAAAGAAGCCAGAGCATAGAACATTGAAATGTTGTGAGGATAAGATGAAGAAATTATGTGAAGAAGATTGACAAACACCTAAAGAATCTTGAAGGGAGAACTGAAGTTGTGAGGATAATAATAAAGATGAAAAATATTATCCAACTGTAAATAACAGATTGACAAAAACCTGAAGAAGAAGAAACAGAAAGAGCACAGAAAAGATGAAAACATTAGTCCAAGAAATAGATTGACAAACACCTGAAGAAGGAAGAAGAGAAGTCTGAAGGGAGGATAATAAAAAGATGAACAAATCCAACTGTGTAAAAGAAGAGATTGACAAATACCTGAAGAAAGGAAGAACAGCTGAAATGTTGTGAGGATAATAATAAGATGAAGAACATTAGTCCAACTGTAAATAATAGATTGAAAAAAGACTCTGAAGAAGGCCAGAGCGCAGAACAGAGGAAATGTTGAGAGGATAATAATAAAGATGAAGAACATAAGTCCAACTGTAAACAAGAGATTGACAAACACCTGAAGAAGCCAGAGCATAGAACAATCTGAAAATGTTAGAGATAATAATAAAGATGAAGAACATTAGTCCAACTGTAAATAACAGAGATGACAAAAACACCTGAAGAAGCTAAGAGAGAGAAAGAGAACAAAAATGAAATGTCAAGAGATAATAATAAAGATGAAGAAACATTAGTCCAACTGTAACAACAAATTGAGAAAAGAGAAAGAAGTGAAGAAACTGCAAGAAAGATTGACAAATACCTGAAGAAATGTTGGAGAGAGGAGAAAAGAGGATGAAGAACACTAGTCCAACTGTAAATAACAGAGAAGACAAACACCTGAAGAAGGCCAGAGCATAGAACAGCTGAAATGTTGTGAGGATAATAATAAAGATGAAGAACATTAGTCCAACTGTAAATGAAGAAGATTGAGGAAATACTGAAGAAGGCCAGAGCATAGAAAAGGAAGAGAAAATGTTGTGAGGAAGACAAAGATGAAGAAATAAGGGAGAGTCCAACTGAAAAGAACAGATTGACAAACAGAGAGGAAGAAGAAGCCAGAGTGAAGAACAAGAGAAAATGTTGTGGAGGATAATAATAAAGATGAAGACATTAGTAAACTGAGAGAAGAGAAAGAGCGTGAACAAAATGAGGATAATAATAAAGAGAGGAAATTAGAGCAACAACAGAAAGATGGAAATGTAAGAGAAGAGGAAATGGGAGAGATAAAGATGAAGAAGATTAGTCCAACTGTAAAATAACAGATTGACAAATAAGAGAAGAAGGCCAGAGCGTGAGAAGAGCTGAAATCAGAGAGATAATAAAAGATGAAAAGAAGAGAGTTCAACTGAGAGAAAAAAATGAAGAAGATTGACAAACCAGAGAAGAGAAGATGAAGAAGAAAGAGAGAGGAAATGTTGGGAGGATAATGAATAAAAGATGAGAGAACATTAGTCCAACTGTAAATAACAGACGACAAATACTGAAGAAGGCCAGAGCGAAGAACAGAGAGAAATGTTCAGGAGGATAATAATAAAGATGAAGAAGAGAGAGTCCAAGGTGAAAATAACAGATTGACAAATACCTGAAGAAATCAGTGAAGAACAGCTGAAATGTTGTGAGGGATAACATGAAAGATGAACATTAGTGAAGAAGTAAAGAGAGAGGACAAATACCTGAAAGAAGGCCAGAGTAAGAGAGAGGAAATGTTTGAGGAGAAAGATAAAGATGAAGAAATATTAGTCCAACTGGGAGAGGAGAAAGATGAAACTGGAAGAAGGAGAGTAAGAACAGAGGAAATGTTGTGAAGAAATAATAAAGATGAAGAAATAAGTCTGGGAGTAAAGAAAGATTGACAAACAGAGAAGAAGGGGAGAAAGGAGAAAATTGTGAAATGTTGAGATAATAAAGATGAAGAAATTATCCAAGTAAATAAGAGATTGACAAATGAGGAGAAGAAGGCCAGAGCGTAGAAAAGAAGCGAGGATACTAAAATAAAAGTTGAGAGAAGAAATAACAGAATAAAGATGAAGAACATTAGTCCAACTGAAAATAACAGACAAGAGAAATAGTCCCTGAAGAAGACAAAATACCTGAGAAGAAGAACAGCTGAAATGTTGTGGAAGGAATAAAAGATGAAGAAATATTAGTCCAGAGGAAAATAAACAGATTGAAAAGATACCTGAAGAAGGCAAGAGAGAGAACAGGAGGAAATGTTGTGAAGAATAATAATAAAGATGAAGAACATTAGTCCAAGAGTAAAATAAACGAGATTGACAAACAATTCTGAAGAAGGCAAGAGAGAGAACAGCCAGAAAGAAGAGGATAATAATGAAGATGAAGAACAGTCCAACCAAAATAACAGATTGACAAAACTGAAGAAGAGAAAATCAGAGGGAAGAGAAAGTTGTGAGGATAATAAAGAAAGATAAAGAGAGATAGTCCAAGAACTGTTGTAAAATAAAGATGGATAAAGTCCAACTGTAAGGAAGGACAAAGAGAAGAAGAAAGAGAAAGGAAATGAGGAGATAATAAAGGTGAAGAAATTAGTCCAACAAATACAGTAAACCTTGAAGAAACAGGTGTAGGAGAAAAATACACAGTGAAGAAAGTCCAAGAGAGACACAAATCAGAGAGAAATGAGTGAGGATAGAAATAAGATGAAGAACAAGTCCAAGAGTAACAAAGATTGACAAATGTAAGAGAAGGCCAGAGACAGAAAGATGAAGAAGTAAGAGAGATAACAATAAAGATGAAGAACATTAGTCCAACTGTAAATACAGATGTGACAAACACTGAAGAAGGCCAGAGAGGAGAAAGCTGAAATGTTGTGAGGATAATAATAAAGAGAAGAAATTAGTCCAACTGTAAATAACAGATTGACAAAATACCTGAAGAAGGAAAGATGAAGAAGAAAGAGCTGAAATGTGAGGAGGATAATAATAAAGATGAAGAACATTAGTCCAACTGTAAATAACAGATTGACAAATACCAAAGAAGGCCAGAGAGGGAGAACAGCTGAAATGTTGAGGATAATAATAAAGATGAAGAACAAGTCCAAGAGTAAATAACAGATTGACAAAGACCTGAAGAAGTAAGCATAGAACAGCGGGAAATGTTGTGAGGATAATAATAAAGATGAGAAACATTAGTCCAACTGTAAAAAACAGATTGACAAATACCTGAAGAAGTGCCAGAGCATAGAACAACTGAAAAGGAGTTGTGGAGATAATAAAAGATGAAGAAGGATTAGTCCAACTGTAAGAAAATAGAATGAGGAAAAACCAAGAAGAAAACAGAGGGCAGAAAAAATGTGGAAAAGTAAGTTGTGAGGATAATAAGAGAGATGAAGAACATTAGTCCAAGAGAGAGCAAATCAGATTGAGGAGAAGACCTGAAGAAGGCAAGAGACAGAAAAGCTTGAGGAGAGGAGAAGATAAGAAAAGAAGTAAGAGAGAGTAACAACAGAGAAGAGAAAACCTGAAGAAGTAAGAGATAGAACAGCTGAAATGGGAGGAGAAAAAAGAAGAAGAAATATTAGTCCAATCAAGAGAAGAGATTGATAAACACCTGAAGAGAGAGTAAAATCAGAGAAGGAGAAAAATGTGAAATGTAAGAGAGAGGATAATAAGAAAGATGGAAGAAATAAGAGAGAGAAATCCAAGAGAAAATAACAGATGAAGAAGTAAGAGAGTAAATCTGAGAGAAGAGAAAAGATGTGAAGAAGCAAGAGAGAGGTAATAAGAGAGAGGAGAAATATTAGTCCAAGAGTAAGGAACAGATTGACAAAAAGATGTGAAGAAGGCAAGATATAGAACAGCTGAAACAGAAAGTGAGGATAATAATAAAGATGAAGAAATATTAGTCCAACTGTAAATAACAGAGAGACAAACACCAGAAGAAGAGAAAGAAATGCTGTGAGAAATAAAATGTTGTGAGAGAGAGGGAGAAAGATGAAGAACAAGAGAGAGTAGAATCGAAATGGAGAGAGGATAAAAGATTGACAAACAAGAGAAGTAAAAGGCCAGGGCGGAGAAAGATGAAAATGTTGAGAGGATATTAAGGAAAGATGAAGAAACATTAGTCCAAGAGTAAAAACAGAGGAGACAAAGACTTGAAGAAGGCCGAGAGCGCAGAAAATCTGAAAGAGGAGGATAAAATAAAGAAGAAGAAGAAATATTAACCAACTGTAAAAAGGAAGATTGATAAACACCTGGAAGAAAGCCAGAGAAGAAGAAAGAGAGAAATGTTGGGAGAGGAGAAAGATGAAGAAATAAGTCCAACTGTAAATAACAGATTGACAAACACAAGAAGAAGGCCAGAGCATAGAACTGAGGAGGAAATGTTGTGAGGATAATAATAAAGATGAAGAACATTAGTCCAACACAAAGTGAACAGATTGACAAATACCTGAAGAAGAAAGATGAAGAAGAACAGCTGAAATGTTGTGAGGATAATAAAAGATGAAGAAATAGTCCAACTGTAAAATAACAGATTGACAAATACCTGAAGAAGGCCAGAGTGGTAGAACAAAGGAAATGTTGTGAGGATAATAATAAAGATGAAGAACATAGTCCAACTGTAAATAACAGATTGACAAACACCTGAAGAAGGCCAGAGCGTAGAACAGCTGAAATGTTGTGAGGAGGACAATAACAAAGATAAAGAACATTAGTCCAACTGTAAATAACAGATTGACAAATACCTGAAGAAGGGCCAGAGCGTAGAAAGCGGAAATGTTGTGAGGATAATAATAAAGATGAAGAACATTAGTCCAACTGTAAATAACAGATTGACAAATAACCAGAAAGGCCAGAGCGTAGAACAGCTGAAATGTTGTGAGGATAATAATAAAGATGAAGAATATTAGTCCAACTGTAACAAAATGACAAACAGATTGACAAACACCTGATAATAATAAAGATGAAGGCAGACTGCAAATATTGACAAAAGGCCAGAGCGTAGAACAACTGAAATGTTGGAGGATAATAATAAAGATGAAGAACATTGAATCCAACTCCAACTGAAGAATAACAGATTGATGTTGTGGAAAATAATAAAGATGAAGAAGGCTGTAAAATAGATTGACAAACACCTGAATAGAAGCATAGAACAGCTGAAATGTTGTGAGGATAATAATAAAGATGAAGAAAGTCCAATAACAGAAGACGACAAACAATAAAGATGAAAACAAGGCCAACTGTAAATAACAGATTAAAAGACAAATAGTCCCTGAAAGAACAGCTGACAAATAGAACAGCATAGAAATGTTGTGAGGATAATAATAAAGATGAAGAACATTATCAACTGTAAATAACAGATTGACAAATACCTGAAGAAGGCCAGAGCATAGAACAGCTGAAATGTTGTGATAATAATAAGATGAAAGAACACGTCCAACTGTAAATAACAGATTGGACAAATACCTGAAGAAGGCCAGAGCATTAGAACAGCTGAAATGTTGTGAGGATAATAATAAAGATGAAGAACATTAGTCCAACTGTAAAATAACAGATGACAAATACCCTGAAAGAAAGCCAGAATAAAGATGAGAACAGTCCAACTGAAATGTTGTGAAGGGAGAAATAATAAAGATAAAGAAGAAACATTAGTCCAACTAAATAACAGATTGACCAAACACCTGAAAGAAGGCCAGAGCATAGAACAGCTGCAATAAGTGAGGATAATAATAAAGATAAGAACATTAGTCCAACTGTAAATAACAGATTGACAAAACACCTGAAAAAGAAGGCCAGAGCGTAGAACAACTGAACTGTTAGAGGATAATAATAAAGATGAAGCGTTATTTGAGTCCAACTGTGGGGCCAACAGATTGACAAACACCTGAAGAAGGGCAAGCCAGAACAGCTGAAATGTTGTGAGGATAATACAAAATGAAGAAATCATTATTCAACTGTAAATAACAGATTGACAAACACTGAAGAAGGGTCAGAGAATAGGAACAGCTGAAATACAGAGGATAATAATAAAGATGAAGAAATATTAGTCCAATGTAAATAACAGATTGACAAATACCCGAAGAAGGCCAGAGCATAGAACAGCTGAAATGTTGTGAGGATAACAAAGATGAAGAATATTAGTCCAAACTGTAAATACAGATTGACAAATACCGAAGAAGGCACAGAGTACAGAATAAAGCTGAAATGTTGTGGGAGGATAATAATAAAGATGAAGAAATATAGTCCAACTGTAAACAACATTGACAAAATACTTGAAGAAGGCAGAGCGTAGAAAAGCTGAAATGTTGTGAGGATAATAAAGATGAAGAAAAGTAAATGAAAACAGAAACACCTGAAGAAGGCTAGAGCATAGAACAGCTGAAATGTTGTGGGAGGATAATGTAAAGATGAAGACGATATTCAACAAAATAACAGACTGACAAATACTCTGAAGAAAGCCAGGCAATAGAACAGCTGAAATGTTGTGAGATAATAATAAAGATGAAGAATATTAGTCCAAACTGTAAATAACAAGATTGGACAAAAACCTGAAGAAGGCAGAGCATAGAACACAGCTGAAATATTGTGAGAGGATAATAATAAAGATGAAGAACATTAGTCCAACTGTAAAATAACAGATTGGAGCACAGAACAGAGGATAATAATAAAGATGAACCTGAAATTGACAAACACCTGAAGGCCAGAGCATAGAACAGCTGAAATGTTAAAGAGGATAATAATAAAAAGATGAAGAATATTAGTCCAACTATAAATAACAGATTGACAAACACCTGGAAGAAGGCCAGAGCATAGAACAGCTGGAAATGTTGTGAGTGATAATAATAAAAAGAGCGAAGAAATATTAGTCCAACCAAAATAACAGATTGACAAACACCTGAAGAAGGCTAGAGCGTAGAAAAGGAAATGTTGAGGAGGACACAATAAAGATGAAGAAATATTATCCAACTGCAAATACTGGTGATTGACAAATACCAGTTAAAGGCCAGAGCACAGAACAGCTGAAATGTTGTGAGGATAATAATAAAGATGAAGAACATTAGTCCAACTGTAAATAACAGGATGACAAACACCTGAAGAAGGCCAGAGCGCAGAACAACTGAAATGTTGGTGAGGATAATAAAGATGAAGAACATTAGTCCAACTGTAAAATAACAGATTGACAAATACCTGAAGAAGGCCAGAGAATAGAACAGCTGAAATGTTGTGAGGATAATAATAAAGATGAAGAATATTAGTCCAACCAAATAACACATTGATAAAATACCTGAAGAAGGCCAGGCGCAGAGAATATGAAAATGTTGTGAGGATAATAATAAAGATGAAGAACATTAGTCCAACTGTAAATAACAGATTGACAATACAAGAAGGCCAGACAAACAGCTGAAAAGATAATAAAGATGAAGAACATTAGACAAAATCCTGAAGAAGGCTGAGACGAAAGAACAGCTAGGCCAAATGTAAAGAACAGATTGAGGATAATGAAGAAAGGCCAGATAGAACAGCTGAAATGTTGTGAGGATAATAATAAAGATGAAGAACATTAGTCCAACTGTAAATAACAGATTGACAAAATACCTGAAGAAGGCCAGAGCGTAGAACAGCTGGAAATGTTGTGAGGATAATAATAAAGATGAAGAACATTAGTCCAACTGTAAATAACAGATTGACAAATACCTGAAGAAGGCCAGAGCGTAGAACAGCTGAAATGAGGATACACAAAGAGGAAGAACAGTGAATCCAACTGTAAATAACAGATTGATAAAAACACCTGAAGAAGTGCCAGAGCGTAGAACAACTGAAATGTTGGGAGGATATTAATAAAAGATGAAGAACATAGTCCAACTGTAAATAACAGATTGACAAATACCTGGGAAGAAGAAGCAGAGCGTAGAACAGTTGAAAATGTTGTGAGGATAATAATAAAGATAAATAATATTAGTCTAACTGTAAATAACAGATTGACAAATACCTGAAGAAGGCCAGAGTAGAACAGCTGAAATGTTGTGAGGATAATAATAAAGATGAAGAACACAGTCCAAATTGTAAATACAGATTGACAAATACCTGAAGGCCAGAGCAAGTACAAACAGTTGAAAATGTTGGGGAGGATAATAATAAAGATGAAGAACATGGTCCAACTGTAAATAACAGATTGACAAACACCTGAAGAAGGCCAGAGCGTAGAAACAGCTGAAATGTTAAGAGGATAATAATAAAGATGAAGAACATTATCCAACTAAAACAATAGATGACAAACACCTGAAGAAGGCCAGAGCCCAGAAACAAGGAAATGTTGGGGAGGATAATAATAAAGATGAAGAAACATTAGTCCAACTGTAAATAACAGATTGACAAAAACCTGAAGAAGGCCAGACATAGAACAGCTGGCTGAAATGTTGTGGAGAATAGATAATAAAGATGAACATAAAGATAAGAAAATTAGTAAATAACAGATTGACAAATACCTGAAAGAAAGGTAGAGCGTAGAACAAAGGAAATGTTGTGAGGATAATAATAAAGATGAAGTAAAACAACAGATTGACAAATGAAGAACTGTAAAGCCGAAACAGATAATAATAAAAAAAGAACATATCTAAAGTAAATAACAGATTGCGTAGCCAACAGCTGAAATGTTTGAGGATAATAATAAAGATGAAAGAATATTAGTCCCAATACAAATAACAGATGACAAATACCTGAAAGAAAGCCAGAGCATAGAACAGCTGGAAATGTTGTGAGGATAATAATAAAGATGAAAGAACATTAGTCCAACTATGAAATAAACAGATTACAAATACCTGAAGAAGGCCAGAGACAGAACATGAAATGTTGTGAGGATAATAATAAAGATGAAGGAATATTAGTCCAACTGTAAATAACAGATTGACAAACACCTGGAAGAAGCGAGCGTAGAACACCGAAATGTTTTGAGGATAATAACAAAGATGAAGAACATTAAACCAACCGTAAATAACAGATTGGGATAAAATACTCTGAAGAAGGCCAGATAGAACAGCTGGAAATGTTGTGGGAGGATAATAATAAAGATGAAGAATATTAGTCTAACTAAATAACAGATTGATAAACACCTGAAGAAGGCCAGAGTATAGAACAGCTGGTTGTGAGGAGGATAACAAGGTGAAGAATTATTAGTCGTCAACAGATTGACAATAACAGATGACGCAGAGCACAGAACAAAGCAAATACAGGAGATAATAAATAGAAGAAATTATCCAATGTGAGGATAATAATAAAGATGAAGAGGTTTAGTCCAACATGTAAATGAGAGAGATAATAAAGAC